TATTTAGAAAATAATCTTGAAATAAGAAAATATGTTAAGTTCCCTCTTCTACTTATAGGAGAGGATCAGAAAGAATATATTAAAGAAATAATTTTATATAAAGATGAATTATATGGAGTAGATCGTTCACTTATTCTACTAGGAATGAAATTTCTTGAAAAATATAGTCCTTATAAAATCTGCCAAGGATACCTAAAGATAATAGTTGATGATAACCCAATCATCATATCAAGAATAGATGAAAATATGAAATCATTGTTATCATGGAAAGGATAATAAGTACTAATCCCATGAGTCCATATATTGAAATTACACTTAATATAAAAAGTTATTGTAGAATTAAATTTCATGCTTACTTAGATACAAGAAGTACAATAAGTTTATGCTTATCAAATGTACTACCATCTGAATACTGGATATACAATTCAAAGAAGATAGTCACCGCTACAATAGCAGGTGGAAATAGGTAATATACAGCAAATATGCTACGCAAGTACCTTTTCTAATTTCTTTTAGAGAAGTATTTGTTGATACAATATACATGTTAACCACAATTGGATGTGATATTTTATTAGGACAAAATTTCCTATTAAAATATGCATCATTTACACAATATATTGATAAGTATATGTTCATAACACCTTGTGCACATAAAATATTTACACCAAAATAAATAAAGCTGTTACAATAGCATATACAAATATAAACCATCAGAGTTCCTCAACCCAGCGTGGCGGATGTTGGAGTACAGAAAAATTTAAGCTAGTTACAGCCTTAAAAATGACAACAGAAAATAGGATTGAAAAAATGAAAAAAGAAATTTCTGAAACATATTCTGAAAATCCATTAGAAAAATGGAATACAGACAAAGTAAAGGTAAAAATAGAATTAAACAATCCAGACACAATTGTAAGAGTCAAACGTATGAAATATAGTGTTGATGATCAAAAAGAATTTAAAAATCAGATAAAAGAATTGCTAAAAGCCAGATTGATTAGGCCTAGTAAAAGTCCACATAGCAGCCCAACCTTTATGGTTAGAAAACATAGTGAGATAAAAAGAGGAAAAGCCAGAATGGTGATAAATTACAAAAAATTAAATAAAGTTACCAAATTTGATGGATACTACTTGCCTAATAAGGATACCCTTATTAAACAAATACAAAACAAAAAGATATTTTCAAAATTTGATTGTAAGTCAGGATTTTGGCAAATCATGCTTACAGAAGAAAGTAAAGCACTAACTGTATTTAGTACCCCCAATCCTTTAGGACAATATGAATGGAATGTAATACCATTTGGATTGAAAAATGCACCACAGATATTCCAAAGAAGAATGGATGAGGTAATTAAACAAATTACTCATTTCTGTATTACATATGTAGATGATTTACTTATTCATTCAAATAATATTGATGAACATATTGAACATCTTGAAAATTTTTGTTATATTATGAAAAAACATGGTATTACACTTTCTCAAAAGAAAGCTGAGATAGCTAGAATAGAGATAGAATTTTTGGGATTATTTATAAAAGAAGGAGAATTGCAATTGCAATCTCATATTGGAGAAAAACTTCAAGAATTTCCTGAAGAAATCAAAAATAAAAAAAATTACAAAGTTTCCTTGGTATATTAAATTATGTTGAAGGATTCATTGAAAATTGTGCCAAATTGAAAAATTATTTTCTTCCAAAATTAAGAAAAATATAATGTGGTCTTGGGAAGAACAAATTGTGAAAATATAAGGAAAGTAAAAGAAGAACTAAAGGTATTGCCCAAACTTGTAATACCACAAGAAGAAGATTTCTTTATCCTTGAAACTGATGCTTCAGATTATTACTGGGGAGCAATATTAAAGGTTAAAAAGAATCATAAAGAATATAAATGTGAAAAGAATTGTTCTTGTCCTAAGATACTTGCAGGTTACACATCAGATGCATTCAAAGAAGTTGAAACTAGATATGAAACAAACAGAAAAAAACTCATTACTGTAAAAAGAGGAGTTCAAAAATATGAAGATTATTTGTTACTAAAGAAGTTCTTGATTAGAACTGATAATACTCAAGTTAAAGCCTTTCTGAAAAATAATGTTGATCCATCTATTACCAATAGATATATTATTAGGATACAAATTTGGTTCTCATATTTCAAATTTGATATTGAATACATAAAAGATAAAACTAACTTTCTTCCTGATCATCTTAGCAGGGATGGAGCTAGAACAATTAAGGACGAAAGTTCAAATACTTGAGATAAAAGTTTCCTATTTGGAAACACAAATTCAAAATATCCAAGATAGCCTTCGAGGCAAAAATATAGCCCTTGAGGCAGAAGTTACTTGTACCAAATCTAGTATCCCTTCACAGGGACTTGTGAATACTAGTGCTCTCCTCGAGGATAAAGGAAAAGAAAAGAAGGTAGTAGGAACCCCTTCACAGGGAAAAATTGAATCTATTACTGGTAATAAAGATATTCAAGATATCAAAAGAGAAGGTAGCTCTTCACAGAGCCAAACTCAATCTAAACTTTCTATTGAAATGATAGATCCAAAAGATATTGTCAAGATATGCCATGAAGCAAAAATTCCCAGAAAAGATAACCATGAAAAAGTAATTCTCTTTATTGTTATTTTCAATATTTTATTAGATTGGTATCTGGAGATTGGAAAATGGATGAAGACTCTCCACTATTCAAAATACAACAATATAAATTTTTATCCAGGAGCACCAGCCAACTGGGTATGAAATTGTTTTGAAATAGGAAATATACTTTGTATATATCCTAGCAAAGATCTCAAAGAAATAGCTCATCTTCCAGCCAACATCAGGAAAGCTGTTAAAAGATATACTGAAGTCGTCAAGACAGCAAATATATATATCAGATTCCATTCAGCAACAGTGGAATGGGATCCCGTTCTTGAATATATGCATTCATCGTTCCATGTGATAAAAATGGGATTTACAAATCAACATTTTTTACCAACCAATCAAAAGGTTGTTAAAAATGGATATCAAGATATTCTAAATATGATGCCATATAGAAGAGCAAAAGGGTATAAAGAGCTATTTGAACATGTAACTTAGATAATTACTGAGAAAGAAAAAATATGGGTTTATCCATCTGAAGATCATATTATCTATTCCAATGCAAGGATGGCCACCAAGGAAGAAGATAATTGTTATCTCGATTATTTATTATCTGCAATTATTTTTAACCAAGTGCATGGATCAGAAGATATGGCTAAAGAATTATGCAAATTATTTTGGAACTACAGTGATCACCATTGTGAATACTGTGTAGTTGAAGATATGAGTCAAGCATCCCTTAACAGTGAAGAATTCCCTGCAGAATTCTTTGATTCGAAAACGAAAAAGTGATGATGACAAAAGTAGCCCTTTATCACTGCTTTAATAAAGAAATTTATTAAAGAAAAACTATGGCTACTAAAAGATAGAAGATAGTGCAAGAAAAGTCTCCATAATTGTGACTACTCCCCACCAATTGTCACAAGTGGCAGACAAACTCAAAAGATAAGGCATATAATTTCAAAAGAAGAGGTCCACCTAGCAAGAAGATAATGAAAAATTCGGTGGAGATAAGATGGCTTAACTACCCAACAAAGAAAGGTGGAAAACACCTATCAAGATAAGATTCTCAAAGGCTTCTATAAAAGGAGGCAAGGAGGAAGAAGGAGGATATCTCGAAACAACTTATCTCTTAAACACTCTGAAGAAACACATCTTAGATATACATCTTTTGTAATCTGTATACATCACTTGTATTCAGAAAAATATTAGATAGCTTGAAGATCTCAAAGCGTGTAATAAGGTAATCACTTATGGAGTTCTAAACTTCATAAGGCGAGTACCAAACGTATGTAAATATAGTTTGTAAGCATGTACAATTTCAGTTTATGAATATCAAAGTAAAGTTTGTTATGTTCAACAAAGCTTTCATAAAAGGATTTCGTTAAGTTTCTCATGATTCTTCGACAGTACAGATAGAGATTTTAAAAGATTTTCAAAACATTCATTTTGAATGGATGTTAGCCATGCCAAAGTACCGATTTTTGATAAATAGTTTAGGGGAAAAAAGGCAGTTTTCTAATAAAATTGTAGCACCTTGTGTGTGAGTTATCTTTTAAAATTTCATTCCAAGTAGGAACTTGATTCTGAAAAGAGTTTGGATAGAAGTGAAAACAGAGACTTTGGATACTGTAAAATAGCGTCTGTGGTAACACGGCTAGTTCTCTAGAATGAGAAATGTAACTTTAATTGAAAAGCCTTTTGCGGAAGCAGTTGTGGACCCAAATGATTTCAAAAAACATTTTAAATCTTTACTTGATTTAGAATATTGATTAAGTATATGCAAAGCATCTATAAGAACATATTGGAGGGAAAGCCTGTTTACTTCCATCTGATTACTGTAAGTTATTTATTTATTTTTACATGCTTATGCTTTAATTATTCTGATGAACAATTCACAAGCATCCACATCTACTTCTAATAATGATAATAATTTCATATTATTTTTAGATGAAAAAGATGTTTCGTTTTTATTTAAATTAGCTGAAAAGTCTGAAAATATATTTCCTGTTGGCAAAGAAAAAATTGAAGAAATATATAGAGATATAGATTATAATTGTAAAAATAATATAGGGTTTGATTTTGTAGGAACTCGTAGAGAAATAAGAAAGGTAGAGAATATTATAACTAAACATAAAGATATATATGAAGAAATTTCAGAAAGATTAGTTCGAGGATATATAACCAAGAAAGTCAGCCTAGAATCTTTGAAGAACTACTAAAATATAAAGAATATTTAAAGGTATTTAAAAGATTGAAAAATATAAATATAGGTCCTGATTGATAAATCTTTAAAAATATAAGATACATCTTGCAAACAATTATAGTAAGGGTAAAATAGTATTTCTAATAAAAAAGGTCAAAAATTGGATCAGTAATCCAACCATTTTAAAAGTTGCCCCATATAAAATCCCAATTCTTTCATTCTCATTCGACCTTTACTTCACAAAAACCTTAGCAAAGCAACTTGGCAGCAATCTCTTGCAAGTTGCGATTTCACTCCCAAGAATCCAAAGCTTCAAATTTCAAGTTGTATTAGATGAAAGAAGAAGATGTAAGTTTAAATTTTATGATTTTCTTTGTAAATTTCAAATTTTTTGTCCTCAATTTTTTGCTACAAACTGTTTTTTTATTGGGAATCGATTAGCTTGTCTGAGATTAGATGTAATTGTATGGGTGAATGTGGATTAGATGTATTGCTTAAAGTATGCAATTTTGCGCACATATGTTTGCAAATTGCAATTGTGTGAAAACACGAATTGAATTGTGGTATTGCGTGCCAAATTACAAATTGCAATTGTGTGCCAATTTTTTATTTTTTTTTTAGAAAATGTTCTTGTTGATGAATTTAAGTATGTGATTAACGTGAAGGATTCTTGATTTTGTGTTTGGGATGTTTTGATAATGTGATTCAAGTAGTATCAGTAAGAAATGTCCTTCCGAACAATTTGGGTTTCTACTAGAATTTCTTGTTCTGAGAATTCAGTTTGATTTTCGGGTTTTCTATTTGGCACATTGTGTTTGGGTTTGTGAGTTTTAATGTTAACGTTTGCAAATTACAATTGTCTACATGATGGTGATGCTAAATACTGGACGCATGAATGTGTGCAAGAAAGATGAGTTCATAGAATAAAATAGAAAGATTCAATTCCCAAAAAAAAAAAAAAAGTATGGTTAGAAAAGGTTAGATGGAGAAGTTTTAATATTCAGTTGAATCATTTGATGTTGGAATTTCTTAATGTTTCCAATTGTTTGTGGCTCTCCTAGTGATATATAATTCAATATGAATTTGTGTCTTTGTATAGTGGGTAGTGCAAGCTTTACACAAAATGATAAAAATGATTGTAATTGTTTGACTGATGCTATTGTTTCTTCTTCTTCTTCTCCCTTTTAAGTACATGTGCTGTAACTTTCAAATTTAAAACTCTTTTTAGATGAATTACATTTTGATGATCTCGATCTGGATTGTGATGGAAATGATGACAATAGAAATGATAATAGAAGTGATACAAACAATGGAAACGAGAATTTTAGTATGACTAAAACTCCATCATTGATACAAAGCAAAAGAATTGAAGAATTTATGTCCGACACCCCAGTATGGATGCGTTCAAACTCTTCTTAATTGAGAATATTGATTTATTTAAAAATTTCAAATAATTTACTTTGTTAACATGTTCTTTAATCACATTTAACTTTTAATTGATGGTTTTACTTTTGCAAGAATATTATTAAAGTATATGAAGCTATCTTGTTGAATTTTGCCATATAAAGTATATGTTTTTACATGATTGATTGTTTTGTTTATTGTTTCAAATTCATATTTCACTATATATATTCTAGAATTTGTGAAATTGGGCTACAAATTAATATTTAGATAACAAAACAATGTGGGATTAATTTAGTTATTAGTAAAAAATGAAAAAAAAAATTATCATTCAATTAAAATAGTTAATATTATTTTTGATAGGAATTGACCCGCCGGTTGAACTACAGACTCGTTGACTGACCGCATTGTCCGGGTCGACATCCGGGTTGAGTCCGATAACTATGTCTCCAGGTGCATCTAAGGTGTCAAATATTAACAATAATATTTGAGCATCTTCCAAAGTATTTATCACTAAATTTAAAAAGAAATCTCCCAAAAGCTTACTATAATTTAAAAGAGCAATACAATATCTTCAATAAAACTTCTCTTTTGTTTGTAGCTACAAAATGATTGTTATGTAGCTCAAATCAGCGACGACTTTTTTGTCAACATATTTGATTGTTCTTTTATATTATTTATACTTTTGGGTGACTTCTTCCTAAACTTAGTAATGATTACATTGGAAGAGACTCAAACTCTATATTTCAACGTGATTTCACATTGAGGTGATTCTTTAGCTAACATTTATTCTAGTAAGTTGTTTTTTCTCAATTTATAAACTTAAATTTCAAATTTATTTACAAACACTTCGCACTACTCTTTTACACAGAAAACTCATTTTCCTTCTCTCTTCTAGGAAAAACTAAAGATATAAAAATAGAAGATGGATCAAAGATTTGGACATATGTTTAAGTGAGACCCAGTAAGATGATTTTCTTCATTTTCGATTTTTGAAATATTATCATGTTGGTCTGTTAAATCCTATGGACAAGAACAATGAAAAAATTAGGCATGAATGTGCTTTGCCAATTTATTTGAAAATTTCATTCCCGGTAAATTTTATGTCTCAGGTCTATCGTAAGAGGCATTCAACTTTCTGCTTGATGTTAAAATACGTGGACTTGAATTATTTGGGTACTAATTTTCTACAAAATATTGAAGTCGACAAATAGTATGGTATTAATGAGGCTCAAATTTTGCTGTTTTTGTCCAATCCTTTTATTATCATTAATGTAATTATTTATATTGCATTTCTTAATGTTCTAATCATTTGTTATGCTAATAAAAGATCTGTTGACCTTTTGATATCTGAAAATAGTCATGTATAGTACTTGCAATATATATCCAAGCAAAGTCATCCAAGTTCCCTCCAACGCAATTTGTAATTATCTCTCAGGTAAAAGCAAGTTTAATGCACACTCTAAGAGCATGTGGGTCCTTGAATGATGAAAAATATAATTTTGATTTTGCAAAGGTATGATCTTGCTTCACACTAAAATATTAACAATGATATATGCAGTTTTATGTATACTTCACTTTGATTATTCAATTGCATTCTTTTTTGTTTTTTATCAAAAAATTATTATTATTATTATTATTATTATTATTATTATTATTATTATTATTATTATTATTATTATTATTTTGTTCCGACTGTACATATACTTCTAGAATACAACTGTAAGTAATACAAGAGAGAATATTTTTGTGAATATGATTCTTTATATAATCAATTGAAAATGTGAATAATTTCTTTTATGTGGTGAGGATGTGTTGTCAACATGTAGACATGTCATTTGACTTATATATTTTTCTATTGTAATTCATATTATTTGTATCCACATGAACATGCTTGTGAAATATCATAAGTTTCTTATATTTGGAGCAAACTTAAACATTAGTTTTAACTGCATATACTGTTACTTAGATTTCACTAAAATTAGACCTCGTGATGCAAAAAAATATCTATATATAAATTATATTATCTAATTCTATGAATCAACCATTTATCGATTTTTTTTCCCCATAAAGTTGTACAGGAAAAACTTACTCAAGTTACTTTTGAGATACATTGCTATCGAATTTGGGGGAATGGATCAGTTATTGTCTTGTAATCCTTGTTAATATATTTCTCCTTGTGGTGAAGTTTTTTCTTTTTACGATCTCTACCACTTTAAAGTAATTTTATCACTTCATTGACAGCCAATTACTGTCATGACTCAATTTGACTTTATAGAGATCATCGAATTTGACCCTGTTCATGGAACTGACTTACAAGTTCCTACTGGTAAAATTTTCTTCATAGTCATGGCTCACCTATATATTTTTTGACATAGTTTCCATGTGATGGATGATATAATTCTATGCCGAGAAAGGAGATGGTGTTGTACATTTTATATTGGTCGAACTCCTTTTTTTTTTTTTTTTTTCCTATATAAAAAACTTATTGTTGGACTATATCAAATTGTACTAGTGATAAAGCTTCCTACAAAATCTCGAAAGGTGATATCCACAATCAAGGCACTTTCCTATGTTCAAGGACTGTGTCTAACATTCTTACATGTACGTTGCAACAAACAAGTATATAGTACTGAAGATATCGCCAAACTCACTAAAGAAAACTTTGAAACTACTTCTACCAATTCTACTTGTCTTCTTGGATGTGACGAGAGCAACTAAGTATTTTACATTGTACCATATGATTTTCTGTTTAGTTTAAACATATTGCTGTTCCGATAGCATTTGGATATGTAATTTACTATCCTTTTTATTTTTTGTTTTATAAAAATTCGACGCTAGGAAATAGATTGTTTCAACAATGTAATTTTTTTTTTATTTTTTTTTTCAGTCAATAAGAATTTGATAGTCTTTCCTTAAAATTGGGTTTCTTATTGTGCTTTTCCTTAGATATACTTTTTTTTTATTATGTAATTATATTCTCTTTAGCTTAACTATTGTATCCATTATGACCATAAACCCTCGTTATCATTTACCACTTAATATATATATATATATATATATTTTTTTTTTTTATTTTTATTTTTATAATCGTTCATGCTGAATGTACATAATTATATGCTTCAATTTACTAAAATATATTGTCGTTCAAAACAAGTTAACTTACAAAAATATAACAGTCATCGTGCAACGCACGATAGACCATTAATAATATGAAAAAAGAGAACAACAATGCTCACGACCTATCTTGCAAGATGTTCAAACTTTTAAAAACATAGAACTATAAACTCAAATGGGAGGGCGATAGAATCAAGAAAAAATTGAGATGCAGTTCAAAATAAATATTGTTGGAGCTTAAGATTTTGAGGATAGATCTTGGTTATGGTCGATATTTGAGCAATGGCCTTTTAGTAATCGTTGATATTCACTAAAATTCAATGTGATTCATAGAAAACTAAACCAGTTTTGAATATTTTGACGATTATTCAATTAAATAATCTAAAGATCATTCAAGATCAAGGCAGTGAAATTATCTGAAATAACTCACTTGAAGAATAAAAATATATGTTTCGATACTAATTATTATTATTATTATTATTATTTTTTTTTTTTTAATTTAGAGACCAATTCTTCTTTGCTAACACATACACTGCATGCATTTTGTGCCCTTCGCTTTGTTCTTTTTTTTTTTTTTTTTAAAAGAAGATAGGTGATTGATATAATGGTTGCCCTTCTTTAGTTTATCAGCAGCCATGCACGCGAATTGCACGAGCAATAGCTTCAGTGAAAAAAACCTCGGATTTGATTTATTCGAATTTCAATCATTATTTTTTAGTTGGTCATGAAAAACTATTTTATTTGGTACATGAGAAAAGAAGTCATGTAAATGAGATAGCACAAGAGAAAATGAGTCGAGTAAACGAGGTGGCACAAGAGGAGGGGAGTTGAGTACATGAGGTAGCATGAGAGGACAGGACTATGTTTGTAACATTTTCGAGGGGGTATCCTGTAGCAGAAAGTGAAGGCAATTCACTGCGATTCTTCTCTGCTCAATGTGTAGTTACTGATGAATCTTGAACATGATAAATCTCCAAATGTAAAATTGCTGTTACTTTTTTTTCCCCTTTATTCTTCCTTTTTTTTTTTTTTTTTTGGTTTATGATTTTGGGGTTTCATCTCAGTGAATATGTCATACCAGCCCCTTTTTTTGTTATATGTTGCTTGTTTGAAGGTTAATTGGCCTAAAACTTTTCGCCTTTTGTATATGTATAAACTCAACAAATTTAAAATGCTTCTAAGCAAGAAAATTAACTGTTTACTCATCTCCAACGCCTACATTACTTAGGGCACAATTATTCCAAGTAACTAACTTTCCTAAATATCCAAGGGAATGAACATCTGATGAATATACAGTTCCTTGTTCAGAAAACTTCATTGATGAGCTACAATAATAGACACAATGTGTTACATACGAGCGAATTGCCCTAATCCTTGTTCAAATTTAGGCACTGCACAATTCATGCACGTTTTTACTTAGCCCATGTTTGAAAATAATTTTTCAAAACAACTTTTCCCCATACTTATTCGCAATTAAAACGTTCATTTTTCATGTTTATCCATCACTTTTCCCTATTTTTTAACCTCACATTCTTAAAAAAATAAATCACTTTTCACAAAATCGATTCTCAAAAAATAAACTTCACACGAGAGCTTAATTTTTAGACATTCCCTAATTAGCACTAAATATGCTTATTAGTTATGATTCTCAAATCTTGACTTCTTTCATTGTCTTTTCTCGGGAATGATCGTCATGTCCTGATTGTGGCCGACACGATTCCTATGGGCTTCCAAAAATTGGTCAGGGATCAGCCCTTCTGACATGTCTAGTTCTTCTTCGATGATATTATTGACATGATATTTGTGGTTAAGATTTTGAATCCTTTGGGTATATAACATTTACTTTTATCTTCTTCTTTTTTTTATACTCAGGTCTTATATCGACTAATTCTGGGTCCTACGATCCAGCCCCTCTTCACGCAAATCAGGTAAATCGTGGGTTGTGCCCCAAACTGGTCAGGGTCCAAGAGCTCTCCCAACTGAACTGTCAAAGTGTCGAGCGAGTCAAACTCATGTATGCGTCTTGCCTTCCAGGAGAACTCTTGCCTTCCAAGAGCCCCATGAATCGAATCCGCGACCTCTGAACTGTCCGCTTTGAAGAACTCCGTCCTTTTCCAATTGGGATGTGCCCCCGGGGGCTACTTTTAACTTACATGTATGTATCTCTAGATTCATATGTTACACGCGTAAAATGTTTTTGTGAAAACTGATTTAGAAAAGACGAATTCGAGTGTTTTATGGTGATTGTTTTGATCTAATGGTTAGGTTAATCATTTGGAATTTACACAAGTAATAAGATAGTTGATTGATATCCTGGTTGCCCTTCTTTAAATTAATCACTAGTCATGCACGTGAATTGCACGTGTAATAGCTTCGGAGAAAAGCATTCTTGCGCCAATAAGAATAAAAGAAATAAAATTGCAGGTTTCATTTATTTGACTTTCAAACATTATTTTTTTCATGAGTAATGAAATATGTACAGTTGTGCTATGTGTACAATCAATGTTGATAATCCCGATTGACAATTAAACACATGGGAGGGGGATCCACGCTGAATATAAAAATTGTGGGTCCCCTCTTCTGTGAGTGCATTGTTAACCTCGATTGTACAAGAAAAATAATTCAAATATATACACAAATGTTTGGTTAATTCCATTAGTCATCTAAATGAGGTAGCACGAGAGATGCCCCCAGGGCACATCTCCAAGTGGTAAAAGGGGAGGGTGGAGAAATCCAGCTTTGCTTGAGGTTGCTGCATCAAGGGTTCGAATCCTGAAATATGGATTTGGCTCTTGGGTAAGTGCAAGTGTACAAGCAGCCTTCCACCCTGTATCCTTAGAGGCATAACCTACGATTTACCGCCCTCGCGATGCTCCAGGGCAGGGGTGGTGGGGGACCCTTAAGGTTAGGGTTTAATCTTTTTTTGAGATAGCACGAGAGCATGAGTGGGTAAACGCGTAGCAAAAGAGGACAGGACTATGTTTGTTACATTTTCTAGGGGTTATCCTGTAGCTGAAAGTGAAGTAAGGCAGTTCTTCATTATGATGCTTCTCTGCCCCAATGGGTAGTTACTATTGAATCTTGAACTTGGTAAATCTCTTAATGTAACATTTGTTTGTTTTGGTTTTGTTTTTGGCGTCTCATCTCAAGGATTTCTCCGTTAATTTCATAGTGAATAATTGATGACAGTCCCCTTCTTGTTAAATTCCTTTTTTCGAAACTGATTTTCTTCACTCATTTTTAATCACAAATTCTCCAAAAATAAAAAAATAAAAATCATTTTTTAAATTTCCTTATTTCTTTTGCATACTTTTGTAATCTCACATTCTCCAAAAAAAACTGCTTTTCACAAAATCTCTTTCAAAAAATCAACTTCATACAAGGACTTAATTTACGTATGTTCCCTAATTAGCATTAGATAATGCTTATTAGTTATAATTCTCAAATCTTCATTTTTTTTCCTCTCAGGAATGATCACCGTGTCGTGATTGGCTTGCACGAGTCCTGCACGGGCTTCCAAGACTGGTAAAGAAAGGCCATTTTGACATGTTTATTTCTTCTTTGATAATATCTTGGTTTGAGTTTCAACATTCCAAACGAAATGAGAATATTAGAATTTTCCATATTAGTCTTAAGTTTTGGGGTCCATCTTAATAAGGTCAACCTTATTAAGTGAAGAAACTCAAGATCTTTATAAATTGATATTTATTTCAGTATTAAACCGATGTGGGATAACACATCCCTTAACAGTCAGTGGCTACAATCTTGCTATTTTGTGTAGTCTCTGAATAGATTCACCTCTCCAGAATGTATTATGTTCTTTCATCCGCTTCTTGGCAAATGGTAAACTCCTTCCTTGAATTATGCTATGCTGCTGTACGAGAATT